GTCGAGGTGGTTGATGAGGTCGAGGTGGTCGATGAGGTCGAGGTGGTGGTCGGACAACACACCCAGTTGATTGCAAAGTTGCTGATTGACTGCAAGTTATCATTAGCTGGATTGATACTCTGGCTCACAATGCAGAACGGCATCTCTTCAATCCATGGTTCGCAAAATCGGTCATCTGGGTCATTGCTGTTGAAGGGGTTGGTCGAGCAATTCAGGCCTGTCTGGTCAAGGCACACTCGACCGGCCACCCCACCTGAGATGCACACGTAGGTTGGGCAAATGCCTGGTGGTGGATTGACACAAATGGTGTAGGTTCCATCTGGGATGCCTTCCACCTGTGCGCTGACTTGGTTGGGCACAGGTTGATCTGGGTTGTCACAGTAGTTCACATTGCCACCGACCTCTGCAAACCAGCAAGTGGCGTCCTCCCCTCTGTCTGACAATTCGTCAATGGTACAGATCTCACCTGTGGCACACTGACTATTGAGGAAAGGAAAAACCACGTCGCTCAAGTTTGCAGCGTCACACTGCTGGGGCGGAGGCAGCGGGTCCCCACTGTTGGTCATGAATCCCAAAACGTTGGCTTGGCCCTGACGCCCTTTTTGAAGGTATGACGATGAGTCGGCATCGCATTGAGCTTGAGTTGTTTGAGCCGGTGAGATCATCGCAAGCCCCACGAGAACCAAGGGAGCAAGGAGTAAGGCCATGGCAGAAGGAGTGCGAAGCAGGTGCACAGAGTATACTAATACAGTACACTCAAAAACGAATTAGACTTGCCAAGTTAGACTGTGCCTTGGCAGGACTTGAGAGTACCAGCCAGTTGCAAAGTTGGACAAACAGCAAAATAAAGCGTATGTTCTTTTTTAAATGTGTTCCTTTTTTTTTCAAAACATCCATAATATGGGTCTTGTTTCACATGGACAATCGCAGTGACATGCACTAAACGTGGAGAATCGCAGTCTCAGAACACTCATCTTGCGACACGTTGGGGGCCACCCCGCCGTGCTCTGCGTCGCTCCGTCGCTTCTCTGAGGCCCTCGGCCAACAGCAAATTTCCGATGAGCCACATGATGGGTAGCAAGCCTGGCGCTGATATCAAAGTCCGTCAGCCATGCTCTGGCTCTTGGGTTCCATTTCCAGGTCGCAGGGAGATCGGCTTTTCCCCATGTATTTCATAGAGAAACGGATCAAGTATGCATAAATAACGTATACTGTAGAAGTTTAGAAGTTGAGTGCGTGCCTCTCATACAACAAGGCACCAAAACATCCTTGTGCTTGCGTTTGTGTGCATGGGCCTGGGTAGGGGGTATTGGCCGGATACCAGGTTCACGTCCACCTCACCAAACCAGTGCTATATGGGTTGCGGTGCATGTTGAGCAAGCACTGAGGTGCACTCAGTCCTTGGTCAGCTCCATCTGAGATCGAGTCCAACCTCAAATGATAATATATAGCTATAATATGCTATAATGACAAGTTGCAAGACTGATGAGTGCTCGATTCAGCCAAGGAGTTTCCATGAGTTTCCAGGGCTCTTTGCAAATCTGGAGTGCTACCGTGGTCTGTCAGAGGGATTGCAGTACGGTGTCGCCACTCCTCGGTGGGCCAAGCCGATCCATGGCTTGAAAGAGAGGACGTTGGAGGACATCGCTAGTAGGAAGTCTACGATGGTCTCCATGGTTCTTTTGGAGACTTCCAGATTGAACGAACTGGGGAAGAGCCCATCTCCAACATCACCAATCACTTAGGACGTCCATCAAGTCCGTCAGAGGGACTGCAGTACGGCGTCGCCACTCCTCGGTGGGCCACGCGGATCCGCCGTTTCGCGGTAGGCCAAGCCGATCCATGGCTTGAAAGGGACGACCTTGGAGGCCATCGCTAGTGGGTTGGAGGCCATCACTAGTAGGTTGGAGGCTAGTAGGTAGTCTACAAGAGCCTATCTTCAACATCACTATCACCACTTTCTTGGGGTGCTTTGTGCCAGTGGAAGCAGCCAAATCCACAAACGGTCTTGTTGACCACGAAACAGAGCAACAATCATCTCGAACCAAGTCTTGCTCTTCACCTTGCAAGGGGCCCCTCTTTGCTTGAAAGAATTTGGGGACATCTAATATATATAAGTATAAAATAGTCTCTCGGTGACCCGTCAACACGGCATCTATCTCATGGAACGCATGCATTGGAATTCTCTGTTACATTTGGGGAATTTGGCCGAGGTCTTTTGCAAGACTGGGATCCCTGCTGACTAGCTGAAGAAAGCCGAAGGCCTCAGCTTGACAGTGCTCATCTGTGGGAAGCGTCGTTTTGTGGACGAAACTTCTGATGCAGCGAATATAACCAAATTCAAATTCCAGTACAACACTCCACATAACATCTCTGGAAGATGGTCATTGAACAATGACATGGAAATTACATGTTACCTCATTTCCGGAAGATTCTGCGCGATATCACATCAAGCGCGTGAAGCAGACTGGAAGGTCAAGATAGAGACTCTGATTCCTTGGGGCTAAAGATCCCACATTGGTGTCTCCAGTGTCTCTTCCCCTGAACAGCACAAAACACGGCATATGCAAGCATGGAAGTGAAGCAAACCCGAAAGAACATGCAGAACTGTATGTCAGGATGCTAAACGAATATCACTACAGGGCTTCTACAACGTAGGTGCCCTGTTTTTGCATTTTGTTTTTGCCTCAGGCACCTTTTAGACGCACAGTCCTTCATTTCATGATGGACGGCAAAAACAAACACTTTCTTTAGAACAGTAAAGAACGGACGACCCCAATCTGACAAGTAGTTGATGAATCCATTGAGTCATGGGTAGCTGTTTTCTGTCCTGTGCCCAGAATCTAGTGCTCTGTCTTGCTGCATGCCTTTGCTGACGGCTGACTGTTACCAAAACTCTTCTTAAATCATTCTTGGTAATTACTGAGATGTTTTGATTTTTAGGGTGAAACCGGTGAACACCTTGAGAACCCCCAACCGTTTTTTCACTAAAAATGGGTGAACAACGACTTATTTGGTACGCCAAACCTGCTGTCTCAAACATCCGCCGGCTGCGGAAAAAACCTCTTAGGTCGCTGCCATGAAGGTCGCTTCTGCCGTGGTCCAGAGCACTACATCACGTACCTCCAAAGCGTCAGTTAGGGCGGTGGAACCTGCGTTCGATGGAACGAATGAGATGAAGGCTCCGTCAGCTGGGTTTCTAGGCTTTTCTATGCATGCGCTTTTTGGACTATATAGACGTTGTAAACCCTTTGGCCATCATCCAAGAGATCAAAGGTGCGATCGTTTGGAGTTTCGTCCATCAAGCATGACTGGCTAAGTAGTTGTCCGATCATCTAATTTGAGCAAACCATTCCTTGCCAAACCGTTTTATATTTTTTTTGTTAAACAACTCCTAATCTTGATTCATAAACACCCCTAAAACTTGTGCAACATGGCGTCTGTATTCATTATTTATATATACGCAATCAATACTCCATACTCATCTGCATAATTCATCGAACGTCACTCTCGGTCTCAGTCTAAAAAGGCCTTCTGGGAGACGACATTGAGAACTTTGGAGATGCTCTCGACTGCCACCTTGATGGCGTCCTCGAACCGCCAGAAAAGTACCCCCCAAACCGTCGGTCTACCTGGAAAGACTGCCATTGAAGATGCCAAGCCACAGGGAATGCCAAGTGGGTGCTTGTTCACATCTACCTTCTTTTCCACACCAAACTCATGGCACATTTGCTCTCTGGCGCTGGTAGACATGCTCTCCGAGAATGCCCGTGTGCGCGTGAATAAAACATCGACATCGGCACCGTCCTGCGAGAGAATCTCGATGCTATGGTCTGCTGATTGCGGTGCAGCATACCTCGTTTTGGGAGGTAACATTGGGTAACCCACACCCATGGGACCATCCAGCGCCAACGTTGATTGAAGCACCGATGGGACCTGAGAAGTGGTTGGTTCTTGGCCAGCTTGGTTTTGGGCGCCTCTAGGTGTTCCTTCCCACCAATGAGAATCGTTTCTTTCAGCATGGCAACTCTGTTGAGCCTGACACACCATGCGCGTCAGTTGACCTCGCCTGACAGCGCCGCCCGCCATCAGCACCAGGGTGAAGATATTGCAAAGAAATGGCACCAACCTCAGAACTGGTCAACTCACCGAATGCGGCCGGGCGATGGTAGGGACTGATCCATTGGGAACCCAGTTGACAATACATTTTCTGGATATGTCTGGATGAGACTACACAACAAGCTGCGCCACATGAACGCGTTCCCCGCTTGGTACTGCTCAGCGGCAGTCTGGAAACAAACATGTGTTGGTGGGTGTTGGACTTTCCTTAGCCGAAAAGACTATCGAAACGGCAATCAATCTTCGCTAGTTTTCTTGGTCAATGGGGTGAGCCCTCTCCAGAGACCGGATCTTTCAGGGATCCCTTTCCAGAGTCGTGGGAGCTTTCCGGCGAGCTTGACGAAGAAAACAACAAATATGATGTTGCCCTTCTTTATTGCAGCCCTTCATCATGGCATGGCAGCTGTCATTGTTCCATCCTCACATGACTCGGTAGACCGGTTGTTTTGGAACACACAGAGGTTTATTGATTATGTAGCGATGCCCTTGTTCCTAATAACGTCCTTCCTCCTAGTAGCGATGCCAGGAGCCCCTAGTAGCGTCCTTGCTCATCTTGGAACACATGATTGATTACGATCATTTTGGAATACACACCCTCTTCCGCAGAGTCTTTCTCTCTTTGGACCAAGAAAGCATCCACTCAGCCTTGCTAGAAAAGCTGGGACAGGGGAATCACTCTTGAAATCTGATTCTGTGGCTTTGACTCTTTGTTGTTTGAGTCCTTTTTTCGGGGAAGGACATCAGCTTTCTCTGTTGTGAAAACAATGGATCGAATCAACACCGTCAAACTTTCTGGTATCCACCAAGCTGACTGTGAAGTGGTCTTCTCTCTCCCATGGATCCGTCAAACATCCAGCACATGGGCCGGTCGCTGGACACGCTGGGTTTCCCGTGCGACAGGTCCCAGGTGTAAACAGCGAGGAAGAAGCAGTTGAAGCAACCGAAGACAGCACCTGCAGGGCACCCGGAACAAACTCAAGCCATGTCCTTTGCATTCGTACAGGTCCGGTGACTAAGGTACATGTAAATAATTGTGCTCACAGTGCCTGGCTTAAGTATATCTCTCTTAAAAGGGAAGGAATACGAACTATTGTGACTTCTTGCTACGAATCTTCATTACAGTACCTGTGTCTTCCTCCCCAAAAAGGCACTTTTGGCATACTGGTGTTTATTAGGACACATTGCAAATGTCCATTCCCTTACAATTGGAATTGCTTCATCTGCGGCTATTCTTTGGCTTTTACCATACTAATCGATTTCATAAACCAATGTTTGCTTATTTAAAACAACACGCAGGAAAATCTCAATCTCATGGACGGTGCCGTGCTATCTAACGGTTCAGCATGTCTGCTTCATTTTACTTTCTAAGAGCTAAAGCTTGTGCTTGTTCTTCCTCTACTTATCTGGCTTTCTTGAGTATTTCCTTCGTTTTGATAGAAGCAGGAAAACCACGTTTATCAGGGTTGCACTCATCAAAGCATGACAATCCCGATTGTCGTGTTCTGCAGAACGGACGTTTCTTCTCCTTCTCGCTCCATGTCCTATTTTGCAGCATGGTGGTCTTCTCTTTGTTTTACCCGGGCATTCCAGGTGTGAGTGACGAGGCTCAGCTTCATCTCAACCAATGTAGGAAACTAAATATTTCTCACAAATCCCCGCTGCGGAGGGCTCACCTGCCATAAGTTCATTCTAGAATAATCATCTACTGTATAGTACAATAATTACTTCATGCACGTGAATTACATGATTGCTCATCCAATCAAACCCTCATTCAAGCGATGGTTCATTCATGTTCATTCCAAACTACCAGAAGCCCTTTGATTGCCTAGAATCCAAAAATCATTTGTCACAGTTCAAGGCCTGTGACTGCGGGTTGCTTCCACCTGGCGCTGCAGTGCGACTCCACTGTGTTCGCCCAACACAGTGCTTCTTTCAGAAGACATAGTTGCTAGTCGCTGTTGTACGCTTTCTCCAAACATAGAAACCTCTGGTCAGTAGCTTCTTCATCATTCTTCCACACCCAAGGCAGCCTATGAATATGGAGACTGGTTTTTCAAACTACTCATTTGCCTTTTGTAAACTGAATGATGTGCCACCATCGAACGATCCAGCTGACCGGTGGGTTCGTGCCTGGAACTCGAACGACCGGTGCCAACCCGCACTCCCATCGGCCCCCCCACCCGACCTTTGAGATCGTACAAACCTTCCAAACCAAATTCGGGGGGGCAGCAGCCTGTTTCACCTGTGTTTGCTCCCGAACGGCCACAGGTTCTGTCCTTCCTCCGAAGCGCAAACCCAGTCGACGCGCGGCCAGTCGCTTTCAGACCGTTGAAAACCGAGCGTCGCTGTCAAACCCGCCGGCGGCACATCAACAGGTCCGACTCCCACATCAAGCTTCTCATTGAACCCTGTGGGACGGCAAGCACGTCAGAACTTGTGGAGTTGGAGTGGAAACAAGCTGAGGATTTCTTCGTCTACCAGGTTTGTGGTGAGAGCTGGCTGCTCCAAGTACATTATGGGACACAGGAAAACAAGTCACGAACCAATACATCGGGGCAGAAAAAATGCAGAAAGTGCACTAGAGCTGTCTGTGGCTAGTTGGAAGCCAAGCACTGCTAGAGCTGTCTGTGGGTTTGGTCTTTCCTGTCTGTAGTTCCGCTGTAGGCTGTAAGTTAACGGATGTTCAAGGTCAGCTTTTGGTTTCAGCTGTAGAGCACTGGTCAGTGGCGATTCCCTGTTTGCCATCTCGAAGCGCTCAACTGAGGAAGAGAAGGAGCGAGACAAGAACAGGTCACGACCCTCCTCTCTGGCCTTCTCCATGGCTGCAAGGTCGGCTACCTCTCTCTGCTGCTCGATGCAACACGGCTGACCAAAGGGCAGCGGATTTGGCCAATCCATTTTCACGCGGACCACCAGCCTCCTGAAGTTCCAGCTCTTCCAAGTCAAGCTTGTTAGTTTTACCTGCATAAGTTTTCCCTTAACATTCTTGAGTCAGAGTATCACAGCATCTGTCTGGGGGATCTGGGGAATCTCTACGGTCCCTCACTCCAAACCAAGCTATACCAACCTGCCAAGCTATACCAAGCTATACCTCATCGTTTTGTGCTCGTGGCTTTTGTGTTGTCCCAACAGTAGCCCTGCCCTGGGAATGAGCAGATTGCTGATGTTGGATGCGTTCTGCTCATATTCAGCCCCTTCACCAAAATGTTTGGACGATTCATTGACTCATTCATACATCTCACAATTGTTAAACACCAATCCCCAAGCGAAATTTATTAGTAAAGTAATAAAAAACAACATAACCCACCACTTGGTGTGATGTTACAAATTCTTCAGTACTTTTAGCACAGGTATACTTTGACGATGGCATGCCCCAGTTGCAATCATGGTGTCTCAGCTCAATCTTTTCCACACCGAACTAGTCATCCAGCTCCATGATGACTTGAGGTTGGGCCTCGCACATGTCAGGATGTTTGTGGCAAGATGCACTTAGCGGTTTCTGGACATGCAAAACCCTCTTGTTGTTGGTCCTGTCGAAAGAACATGAGATCCTTCGTTGTCCATTTGTAGCGCATGAGCATTCTATCCAAAATATAAGGTGATCAACATCAGCAACGGTCAATCTGTGTCAAGTAACTAAAATATACTACATGACAATATAACTACATTGCTTTTAAAACATGGACTACAACATGTTGCAACAGGCAAACACGCAAACCATACCAAGCCACGGGTGGCTCCTCTCAATGAGTGCTAGCTCTTGATCCAAGTGATGTCATTACAAAGTCATTCTTGAACCAAAAAAAATGTCAAAAGCTGGACACCCACATCCGTGTAGAAACCGCGCCTTGGGGCGGACGCGGACCTTCTTTCCCACCTGGCGGAGTTTCGGCAGTTTCGACACGGTCCAGCCGGGCATCCCGTCGACTGAGCGTCGAAAGACCGGTTTGGTCTCTACGGTCTGACCGCTTTTTGCAGGATGGCTTTCAGCCGCTGGCGCGAAGGCAACAGCTGAGGTATTGGGTCAGCACGACCTGGGGCGGATGAAAGTCTGGGGAATATCAACGTGTTCTTTGTTTGCCTGTTTTTGGCCCTGGCCCTGCTTCCTTACTTAATTAAGTAGACGCCTACTTAATTAAGCAAAGGAGTAGGGCCCACGCTACTAGCAATAGGACCATAGGAAGCTACTAGTAACTGGACGCAGGATAGCTCATGCTTCTTCAAGGAAGCTCCGCCGTCTGAGGGCAGGCTTCAAGGAAGTTCCGCCGTCTGAGGGCAGGGGGAGCTTCCTTGAAGAAGCGCTCGCACTAATGATTTGGTTCCTAGATTGTAGGGAAACTCAACTCCATGGAGCATCAGTTTTCCACAAACATTGCTTCCTCAATCAAAGCAGTTTGGCATCGATACAGTATCATTCCTAATTGCACAAGAAATTTGAGGGCAACATTCCAACATTGATGGGCTAGACGGTGGACGCCCTTAACTTATAGCAGCTTTCGCAGCCTTTGATGCCAGGAGTTGTTCCACCTCATCCCAGCTTCTCAGCAGACTTGCCTCTGCCACCCCAGCCTATGCTGCCTCCAAGAGGCCTTCTTCCTGCTCCAAGAGTAGCCTTATGCTCATGGAGAACACTCTCTTCGGACATGTTCCTAATAGCTTCTTGTTACTAGTAGTACGGCCAGGAGCCCATAGTAGCGTCCTTGCTCCTAGTAGCGATGCCCTTTGCTCCTAGTAGCGTCCTCTTGTCTTGTTTCTACGGCCAAGGATGCGCCAAATCTATCCATGGTCCATTGGATGGTCATTTCAAGAGGTCGAATGGAGAGATCTGGATGTCCAGACCTTCCGAGAATAAGCTGGAACAACGCAAGCTTTGGTGACTAGGTGGTAGATTGCAAGAGGAAGCACAACATGCTTGTATGCATATGTATATATAATATATATACAGTCATTATACTATAATGCATAGCTGTATCATGCTGTAGATAGTGTAAACATCTGTAATCCCTTGCCTCCAGTTTGTGGGTGAGATCTATGGAAGTACAAACCTCCGTCCCTACAACACAGTATCCAGCATTTTGCAAGCGCCAATCACTTGTTTTGATCAAGTGCCTCTCAGCTGCGTGCAGGGTTGACACGGGCATCTTAAACAGCCTTCTCACTTCAAAACATTGCGGAGTGAATTTGCACCACATTTGATTGTTGCCCTGCATTGCACAAAAGCACCACAGTCACAAATGCATGTCCTAGCGTCCTAGCTGCAGTAACTCCATTTCACATTCAGTAGTAGAGCCGAGGTTTGGTTTCCAGTGATACTGGAATCCACTGAGGAGTCTTCAGTTTTGGATAAAATCCACCCAGTGAAATGACCTGCACTAAAGATCGCCAAAGGAGCACCGCATAGCATAGCCACCAAAAGGTTATAAAATGTTTCACCTTCGGAAGGTATTTGATATGCTCCTGATTCCTAGTGAGAGGGTTTTTGGGTGCTACGGTGGCTGAGGTTCGGGCAATGCCACCCAAGCACTGGTCCGAACTGAGGCCTTCAGTCCGAACCGAATGTGCCATGCGAACGGTGGGGAAGGAGGGACCCATGAACCGATGAACACTCTGGGTAGAACGGAACAAACTAATGGCACGAGATTCAGCACCTATTAGGCGTCAGTGTGGTGGTGACATTGCCGTACTTAAATTCCGTTCGTAGCGTTCTTGTTCCTAATAGCAAACATTGTTATTGTTACTAGAAGCGATGCACTTGTTTCTAGTAGCGTTCTTGCTTCTAATCTTAAATGAGTGACGGCAATGTCGAAACCGCAGTGCCGGATCGACTCTGCGTGACCTCGTCAGCAGACGTTCCCACTCCATTCCCCGCAACATCCGCTATCTCCATGTCCTGATCCAGACATCGAATATACTATTGCCGACACATCTTGCCACTGAACTGTATACTGTCGCTACTTGGAAGTTGGTTCAACTCCTACCAGCTGGGGATGAACCTCTTGCCTACCATAGCATATCAGCATCTTCGAGCGATCCTGCAGAGTCAACGACCCCAGGGTTGCGCCTCTGCTGCGACGAGGTGGTGTTGAGGGGGGCGAACCTCGTGGAAACAGCGAAAGAAAACACTCGTGGAAACAGCGAAATAAGCCTTGTGTACTACGGCTACTTATATACCTCAATGGTTGATGATGTTCTTTGTCTTGTGCTGGACTGCGCTGGGAAGGAAGGGTCAGTTTTTCCAGGGACACGTGAATGGGGCAAATGGCCTCTGCAAAAACATTTGGGTTCACTTCATACATGAAACCGAGCATTGCAAACGAGCGAGTGATGAACATCTCACTTCACAGCAAGCCCAGCGTTTATGAGGAATGGGGCCAAGGTCAATTAGTTGATAGACACTCACTACTCCGGCATAGCAGTTGGAGTCGATGTCGCCGATCGAATCCACCAACGAATCCCAGCTACGGTGGTGCATGTGTGCTGCACCTGGAAGCAACTGGCACCATAACTCTCACACTTCTTTCTGGCGCAGGTCACTGCGCCAATCAGCGCGGTGCACACAAAAAGACGCTGCTAAACCAAGTGACGTCGCTGCCCCAAAGACGCTGCACCAAATCGATGTCCTTTAAATACGCATTGGACGATCAGCATCCCAGCATAAGAATCTCAAAGTTGGCATAGTGTGTCACCCATCAAAGGTTTCATACGCTGTCCTACGCAGCCGTCCTGCAGCCGTGGACACATAAGCATCCCAGCCAAGTGACGAGAGGACTCACGTGACCCAAGCCCGCAGCCTGCACAGCAACCGTTGCAACTCGTCGAAAATAAAGGTATTGTGTGGAAGTCTTCTCGGTACCTGGAGTATTGTGTGGATGAAACACAGTTGATCCATGAGGGACATGCCTTTCATGACTTCAAGCGTTGTTTCTGGACACCAATTAGGAAGACTCCTCAGAATCTTTGCTTGGAATCCTTATGTGTTGCTTTTGTTCTTTGAGAAGGGGAGCTTTCATTTCGATTGCCTTTAAACCTGCAGCATCTTTCCATGGCGAATTGCTTCCAGGCCACCCCAGAATCCCTTGGTGATAACAGTGATAACGATGAGTCGACATTATGGATGAATGACCAGAGAGTTCTTACTTTGGTTCAGAACCAAGCTTAGCCTGAAAGTTTTCTTCCGTGTTCTTCGTTGTGCACCCGGGCACCCAGCGGGCAGACTGGAGCTCAATTCAGTCACAAGCCCTGCCGGCCACCACGGCACGACCACCGAAACAGACGCTCTCTCGCACCGTTCAGTCCCGCCGGACCATCACATTGAATTATGTAACCATTACACAATGCCGATATCAAAAAATACATGGTCATTTCAGCAAGAGTAAGAGGATATACCACAAAGCCAGCAAAGCCGATTCACACACTGGGGATAACGATATAAATCGTACTCCCTTGCGATTGCCATGGGGTCTCGGGACTATCATCTTGGACCGCGCCGGCCTGACGCATGGGCCAAGCTTGGCCCTGCTGGTCATAGATGGCCTGACAGGAACAACGCACTGTTGAACCGAGCTAACGACACTGTTGATGTGATCTCTGAAGAAGGATCCTGACGTTGCAGTTCTCAAGCGATCAAAGAAACTAACTTACAGTAGATTACATGCACTTTCAGATAGGTGTTCAACAGGGTCTTTCCTGGACTGCAGGTGCATGAGTGTACATGAATGAAATGGGTCAGGTTTTTCCATTGTGTTTGTTAAAGGTTTGCCCGCTCCACACTCAAAAACACACACACAAAGTAAACCACTATACTGGTATGCGCACCAATGGCTTGTTTCGCCTCCAATAGCCGTAAGAGGAGCATCTCGAGACTGGAAGGGCCTCGTCTCGCCGCGTGCTTCCAGGTTCAGGCCAAGATATGGGAATGCCCAACCACATGGGAAATTTAATTGGAAGAAAAAGGACCCTTCGAATGTGCAGCACCAAGGTGTTCATGCCCAGTTTAGTAGTATCTTCATCTCAGTGTGCAAGAAATTGTGAGGTCATTGAATGTTGCCAGGTGAACATGCGAATGTCATTGCTTCTCCTTGCCTGGAGGTCCTTTGAGCACTATCGCGGTGCTGAGCAGCTTGTCCAGGCGAGACAAATTCAGGTCACCTGAGCCTCCAGGAGCGCACAGAGGGT